GGGTGGGGTCTGGGCTCCCTATAGGGGCAATGGAGCCAGTCTGTAAAGCAGGCTTGTGTTGTGGGGAGAGAGACTGGGAGGGAGGGAGCTCTAAAATATGGCCTCGATGTGAGAGCAAGTGCAGCTTTAGAGCCCCAGAAGGTAAGGGAGGTGATGGGGGCCTGGTGGGCAGAGGATGGGAGGGGCTTTAAGCCTTGGGCTCTGTGGAACAGAGGTTGTTTGTGAACTGGAAGCCCCCATGGTGAGGACCCAAAGGGGGTGGGGCAGGATGTATGGAAAGAAAAGTTGAGGACAGGGAGGGGCCATGGGAGACCATTTATGGCACCCTCTGCCTCAGCACTGGAGGAGGCAACCTCCCTACCCCACAGCCTCCTACTGGTCCCTCTCCCAGAGGGCTCCTCTCTAGAGACAGACTGGAGCAGCTCTTTGGGTGCCATTTCTGATCTGTCCCTTGGCCCTGGTTGGCCCAACCTGTGGCTTGGGAGAAATGCCTGTGGCCTCTCTGCCTGCTGACAGAATCCCATCCCATTAAAGGGCTGGCAGGATGTTGAGCAGAAAACAGTGGATGGGAAAGGCAGGGTCCAGGCAGTCCCTGCCTGCAGGGGATGGAGGGGAACTGTAAAGATCAGGGTGGGCTCTTTGTCCTCATAGGCAGAGGACAGGTATGTGTGGAGCCCTGAAATCCAGCAACACCACACACCCTGAGTACACTTTGGGGGCATAAGTACCCAGCCTTAATGTCCCCTCCCCAGGAAGAGATCTCTGGAAAATTCTCTCCATCAGGCCAGTTCTAGGCTTTTGTGAGTCCAGGAAGCACTCTGGAATGGGAGTCTCCCGTTTCGAGTCTCTACTCAGCCACACCCTGTCATGGTCCCCAGTGACTGATAGGTCATACCTATTGGGTAGAAGTCAGGGCCAGGGGTCAGTGTGAAGCTGAAGATTAGAGATCAATATGAATCCAAGGGCTAGGGGTCACTCCATGGGAAGGTTAAGCGTCTGTCTGTGGGTAGGGTAGGGGTCAAGCTGGGGCCAGAGTTTAGCCTGTGCTTGTAGCCAGGAAATGACATTACTTTCTGTGTAAATCAAACTGCCCCACCCAGTTATGTTCAAACCCATAAGCGTCCCCAGTCTGAAATTAGTCGGCCCCTGCGGTGAGGATCTACTTTGCCCCCTTTCCAGCTGTGGATTCTGTCCCAGTCGTAGCTTGAGAAACCAATACTGTCCTTAAGTGTTTCTGGGTGCATATGCATGATGGGGGATGTCCCAAAGACATATGGGGCCACCAGCCCCTTCTACCTCCAACTCTCAAGGAATTGGCAGATCCCCCTTCTTTAATACAGATTGATTCAGGTCCTCCCCCCCATCAAAGAACTCAGAATGATTAGAATAAAAGTCTCAATAAGACCAAAAACTTCTAACAAGAGAAAATTCAGAATCCACATCATGAAGGATAAGAATAACTGCTCACATATGGGGCTCCTGGGTGGCTGTCTGTTGAGCATCCGACTTTGGCTCAGGTCATGATCTCACTGTTTGTGAGTTCAAGCCCCACATCAGAATCTGTGCTGACAGCTCAGTCTGGAGTCTGCTTCAGATTCTGTGTCTCCCTCTCTCTCTGCCCATCCCCCGCTCTCTCTCTCAAAAATAAATAAACATTAAAAAAAGAAGAAGAACTGCTCACATCTGTCCAAGTTCCTGCCCTTATCAACCACCTTCCTTATCTGGACTTGTAGGTCTTAACAAGCCCCCTGCATACCCCATTTTACAGGAAAGACACTGAAGCACAGAGAGGCGACATGATGCACTCTGGCCAGGTGCAATCGTAAACCCTTGCCGTCCCTGAGACCCCAGTGTAGGCACGATCCGTGTCCACATGCTCAGAGACAGGAGATAACTGGACCAGCTTCAGATAGGTGGGAGGACTGTAGGCACACAGTTTGGACATGGAATCCAGCTTAGAGGGATGATTCCTGAGTCCTTTTCCTGGTAGCTCTAGATTGATTCTCCTCTAAATACAATAGAGCCTTCATCCAGAAAATCCATTCATTCATTCAACCACTTAGCACAGAGCCTGATGCAAACAAATGCTCAATAAGGTTTTTTTGCTCAAGAATCGAAACAATGCACAGACAGGGCTGTCAGCTTCCCCCTTGTGGCCTCAATCCACAGGGTGTGCTGTGGTCAATACCGTCAACTCTCTCAGAGGGAGAAAAACCCAATCTATGGTGTTTGCCAATTTCCTTGGTGTAAATACTTGTACCATGGCTAATTTCAAGTTAACCCATGTGTTGTCCGTGAATGCAGAGTTGGAGAGAGATGCAGAATCAGCTCTCATGGCTGGGGAGGCTCACCTCCAGCACACCACTCCCTCTCCCTGCACTCAGCCCCTGTCCTGGCTCTCAAGGCCCACACCCATGCGCACTATTTGCCTTCCTGTTTCTTAGCATCACTCTGCTGTTCTGAGTGCCCCAAAGCCGCCCCTGTCTTTCCCGTGATGCTCACTCCTGGGCATCCAATTGTGCGCCTCTGCTGACAACAGGATTGCATGTATCTGGAAATGTCTATGGTGCTGGCCATGCAGGAGTATCCTGGACATGTCTGAGTGTCCGTCCACAATGGGGCTGGGCTGTGTAAACTGTGTGTGAGCAAGGGTGCGTGCTGTGCATATGTGTGCATGCGTGTGATGGTGCCCAGCTCTGCACTCACCTGCATTCTGTTAGCAAAACTTCCTGATCAGGCCATTGGCTACAGAGAGGGAGGGGGCTCTGAGCAGCCTCACCTTTGTTTAGGGGGGCTGCCAGGCCCACAGCTGAGGACTTTAGCACAGATTATCTGAAGATCGGCCCAGGAACACGTTAAGCAGCACTTCTCAAACTTTCATGTGCACAGATGTGCACCACCTGAGTCCCCACCAGGCTGTTCTGACTCAACAGGTCTTGAGCGGGGCCTGAGGTTGTGCATTTCTAACAGCTCCCAGGGGGCTCCGGTGCTGCTGCCTCTAGCCTGGCCCCCAGACACAAACTCAGGTTGCTCCCATCTTAGAAAAGAAAATGAAAGCACATCTTCCCGTCCTCAGGCTTTCTGTTCCTCCAGCTACTGCCCTCACGCCAGCCCCTGACCTCAGCCATGCTTCTTGGAAGTGCTCACTGCATTCTCTTACCCTCTGCTCGCTCCTTGCCCGGGCTCACTTGACTTCTACCCCATCTCTTTCATTCTGCCAAAATGATGGCCTTGGGCCATTAGAACAGGTGTTGCAAGGCTCCTCTAATAACCTCTAAAGGCATCTAGCTTCGCGTACTTCTCTTAGATCTGAGATCTTCATGGGACCATAGCAAGCATCCAGTCTTCTCCAGCAGCACACCTTCCTCCAGCCAGCCTTTCCGTGCTGGTTCTCCCTACTCTTCCCCCACTACTCCCTGCCAGGCCTCCCTTGACATGACTCCCAAATGTGCATCTCCCCCTCAGCTTTCTCTCTGACCTCTGCATCATACACCATCTGGCTCCTTGGTCTGTTCTCTGGGAAGTTTCAATACTGCACCCAGAACTCTGCCCCTTTCCCCTGCCAGCCTGCCCTTCTCCGGTATTCCCCATCTCACTGTCCATCCCCTAGCTCGAGTCGGACAATGTCACCCTTGACATCTTCGTCCTAATCCCCAATATCCAATCCAGCCATCTTCTATCAGCCCTGTTGGTCTCTGTAACTTCAGAACTCGACTTCTGTCTCAAGACACATAGCTACCACCATCATCTGTCGCCTGGTGCCCCCATAGGGCTTCTGCTTCCAAACTGCCTGCTGCAATCTGCTCTCTCCATACAGCCAAGGGACTTTTTAAAATGCAGATTTAGTCATGCCCCCAATTCTGCTCAGCTACTTCAAACCTTTCAAGATTTGCTGTTCCCCGTCATATAAAACCAAATCTAAAATAGGGTCCTGGAGGGTCTGCCTAGAGGATCAGCCCAGCCCGGCCCAGCCTCTCTCTCTAGCCTTACCAAGCCTTTCTGCTTGGTTTGTATCCAGCTGTGACCTTGACAGCATCATTTGTAATCTCAAATTCACTTCAGTGATTATCCTACTGTAATCAGTTTCCCCACCAGGCTGTAGGCCTCCAGGGCGGGAACAGTGTCTCTCTGGGTCGCTAATGTCTGCTAACACCTGGCACAGAGTGGGCACTCGAAAACATTTAGGAGCATCCTGATTCCAACAAAGCAAATGTTAAGACATTTTGGAGACAAGCTGGCACTGTGGGACTGAACGTTAGCCGAGCCTGAGGAATTGCTGTTAATATTGTCACACATGATGAGGATGTTGCAACGACGTTTGTGGAGTCTTTATCTGTTGGAGCGACGTATTGAAGAATTTATAGGTGAAACAACGTGATGTCTGGGATTCGCTTCAAAGGACTCTAGCCAAAAGTAAATAACTAAAATAAATAAGCTTTCAATAAGGGAACAAAGGAACAAATAAATGCCATTCTGTTTGTCTGTTCCTGTTGACAGTCACAGGGCCTGCAGAGATGCTGGCTGTCCCAGAGATGGGCCTGCAAGGGCTGTACATTGGTAAGACTCTCCTCCCTCCCCCAGCCTGTGCCCTGACCCACCACCCCTCTCATCCTGACACTGAGACCCACCTCCAGCCTGCACATGGGCAACTCTCCCAGACGAGGTTCTTGAGACAGTGTGTTTGTGCAGGAAGGGTTGGTGCTTACAGGACTGTGTGTGTGAGTGTGTGTCTATGAGTATGTGCACAGCGGGTCTGTGTGCACAGGACTGAATGAGTTTGCATGTCTTGGGCAGGGTCTGTGTACACGGGACCTGGTATGAGTGTGAGTGTGTATGTCTGTGTGTGTCTGTGTCTGTCTGCCTGAGGGAAGTCTGTGTGCAAGGCCTTGTATGAGAGTGTATATATTGGCAGGTGGTCTGCATGCACAGAATTCTGTGCGTGTACACCTTCATCTGCCTCTGGCCTGGTCTGGGAGCAGGCTCTGGGCTCTCTGCAGGGGTGGGAGGCCAGAAGTCAGGAGGGCCACTCCTCAGGAAGTCCATTAACAAAGACCTGGTGGGCTGGGCCTTCCTTCCTGCCTCCCTTCCCAGGCCCAAGCCACAGCAACTTGGCCCCTCAAGCTGGAGCTGGTGGCAGGGCCCAGGCCCGTACTGGCCGCTTAGAAAAAGGAGCCCTGGGACACTGACCACCATAACCCTGCCCCTCCAGCACCTCAAGACAGACTCTGGCCCTGTCCAGGCACTTCCTAGAATCCCCCTCATGTACATGTTCCCAGGGTATCCCCAGGCCAGCAAGAGCTGGGACCTATCAGGGCACACAGCAGGGTAGCTACTGAAGGAATACAGGACCTGGCCTAAAGCAAGCCAGACCAGTTGACGTGTCCACGGGTCTTCATGCAAGACCCCATCAGCCTCCTGGACCAGCCTCCCTGTCCCCACACATGAATCTCAGGGCAGCCCAGCACTGCTGGTAGGGGCCTTAGCAACGCCCAGTGGGGTGGTGATGAGCCACCAGCCCACACCTAGGGGATTTCCAGCCAGGCAGGCCCCTAAACTGCCTGATCCTCCAAGCCAGGCTTTGGGCTGCCTTCTGGAGCTGCTGTTTCCTCCCAGCGAAGGTCCAGCTCAGTGCTGGGCCTGAGAGAGGGTTTCAGTGGGACCTCCTGCCCCCAGATGCTGGCTCCAGGTTTCCGTGTGTTGTAGGGAAGGGAGGCTCAAAATCCAACTTCCTAGTGTTGTGGACTTGCCTCAGCTCAGAGCTGGGCTGGGGGAAGCACCATTCCCCTTCTTGATCCTCACCACACAGCCAGCTGGGCCTATCCTTGGCCCTTGGTAGAGGGAGGGGGAGAGGGAGGGTGATTCCCTGGGGTCCTGATTAGAACCATGTGGCCAGACTAGTGGGGAGGGGAGCAGCCCCTCCTGCTGCTCAGTTCCGTCTGCAGTTCCCCACCTCTTCTGGATTCTCTGCCCTCCACCCTCACCCTGCCCCAGGAGCCCACTCACCCATCTCTCCTGCTCTTCTGTCTCTAGACTCAGTCTCCCCCAGTCCCCATAATTCTTCTCTATCTCTCCCCTCGCCTGCTGTGCCCCTGCTGTGTCTTAGGGATGCTGGGGGAGACAAGGAGTCCTCAGGTGAGGCATGGGTCACCCTCCAGGGATGGGTCACCTCAAATCGATAACAGGCCCTCAGTCCTCCCCTGCCTGCCTCAGTCTTGTCCTTCCTTCCCTCCCCAACTATTTCCCCTTCCACGGCAGGGTGCCCCTTGCCTCAGCCCAGCAAGGACTGATGGAGAACCTCCCAGTGCCCAGTCACCGGCTCCTAACCTGATGGTGTGCCAGAGTAACTTACCCTCTCTTTGCAGGCTCTAGCCCCGAGCGGTCCCCCGTGCCCAGCCCGCCCGGCTCCCCAAGGACCCAGGAAAGCTGTGGAATTGCCCCCCTCACACCCTCGCAGTCTCCAGTAAGCCCGGGAACAGGGATCCTGGTGGTGGGTGGCCTGGGTGGTATGGAGGCAGGTCACACTCCAGAAAGCAAGGCCTGGTGTCTAGCAGAGCCCTAGCAGGACCTGGGTTGGGCTGGGGGTGCTGCCTGGATCTTGCCCTTGCATTCTCCAGTCATGTGCCCCCCCCCCCAGAAGAGTTAGCCTTAGGTGACCTTGGACTGTAGGGGTAACAGTCTACTAAGGTGAGCCCAATGTAACTAACACCCAGACAGCACCACTCTGGGGTGACACCCATAGACCATAGCCTGCCTAGGGCAAGGAGACTTCTGACATGTAGTGGTATATCTGGGGAAGAGAAGACACATATTGCTAAGCGTTAGTTTGGAAACTACTAGCTTGAAGTATCCAGGATATAACCTTCTCCCAAACTCCCTGGGTCACCCCACCCAGGATGGCCTCACCTAGTGATGCAGCCTGGAGACCCCCTTGTTCTTAGGGAGCCCAGGCCTGGCCTGGGAGAAGGCAGAACCACTCTGGGCACATGCACAGGCCTTTCTTCTCTGCCACAAAACTGACAGAATCTGGTCGTGTCACTGTGGACACAAAGATCTAGGGGGTCAAATATACACAGGTCTGTGTGTTACCGAAGCTGCCCAGAAGAGCGAGATTGCTCTCAGCTGGGCCGGGGCTGTGCGGTGCTGTGAGATGGGGGTGGGGCTCAGGCCAGCCAGGCAGAAGGTGGACAGAGAACCGAAAGAGGAAAGCAAGAGCTTACACCACAAGCTGCAGAGGGTGACCTGAGACCTTGGGCCTCTGAGCAGTTGCAGTTCCAGGGCTTAGCCTGGAGGCTTTGAGGGGAAGGGATTTGGGGCAGGTGGCTAGAGCCGGGGCCAGTCTGGACCACAGCCGAGGGAGAGGAGGGGCTTCAGCAGGCAGTCAGTCGGGCCCTTGGGCTGCTGCCTGACTCTGGATCTTGTCCTCACAGAAGCCGGAGGCCCGAGCCCCGCAACATGCTCCCTTCTCTGTGGTGGTGGCCATTGACTTTGGCACCACCTCCAGTGGCTATGCCTTCAGCTTTGCCAGTGATCCTGAAGCCATCCACATGATGAGGTGAGGGTGGCTGAGCTGGGAGATTGGGGCGGGGGGTCCTCACTCCCTGGGATGGACCTGGTCTCAGAAAGACTGTCACTGAAGAGACATGGGGTCTCTCCAGAGCTCCCTCCATCCCTAGCTTGGGGCTTCCTGTGGGGGCAGAAAGTTAGAGGATGGGTCCTAGGCCTGGGCCCCATCCTCAATTAGAGAAACACCCAGTAGAAATATTGGGTTTCAGTTTTTTTTTAAGTTTATTTATTTATTTTGAGAGAGAGGAGTGCAAGCAAGGGAGGGAGAGAGAGAGAGGAAGACAGAATCCCATGCAGGCTCCATGCTGTCAGCACAGAGCCCAGCATGAGTCTCAACCTATGAACCGTGAGATCATGACCTGAGCCGAAATCAAGAATCTGATGTTTAACCAACTGAGCCACCCAGGAGCCCCTGGGCTTCGTTTTTAATTTTAAAAAATGTTACATTTAAATACACAAATGCCTTTCTGGGCTTGTACACAAATGCACACAGGCATATATGCACATATATGTGTCTGTAAAATAAAAGTGGGAGGGGTGTCTGGTGGCTCAGTCGGTTAAGCATCCAACTTTGGCTCAGGTCATGATCTCGTGGTCCACAAGTTCGAGCTCGAGGTTGGGCTCTGTGCTGACAGCTCAGAGCCTGGAGCCTGCTTCCGGTTCTGTGTCTCCCTCTCTCTCTGCCCCTCCGCCACTCACACTCTGTCTCTCTTTCAAAAATAAATAAACACTAAAGAAAGAATTTAAAATAAAAATGGGATATCATACAACTTGCCTTACTTTAAGCTTTCAACATTATTTTGTAGATGTTTTGTGTCAACACATAAAGCCACAATTTCTTTCTTCTTTTTTTTTTTTTTTTTTTTTTTTTTTTTTCAAATCCACCTGCTTTATTTTTTCTTAAAAAAGGAAAAAGAAAAATGAACCAGCCAAACAAAAACAAGGCGCCGCCTGGCTCCCTTGGGCTCTGGGCATGCATCTTGGTTGACAGGCCTGTTCTTATATAGGCTCCTGCTGAAGCCACAATTTCCTTTAACAGCTGCGGAGTACAGACATAATTTGTCCACTTTTCTACTGATAGTTTTAGGAGGTTTCTTGTCCTCTAATTTTTCACTATTACACAAAGTGCTGCAATGAATGTCCTTCCTTGAAAACCTGTGCTGGGATTTCTGCGCAGTAGACTCCTACAGGCAGATTCCTAGGTTCAACACCTCAGGTGAAGGACAGGGACATGAAGGATCAGAGGGCTGAGTTGACAAGTTACACAGCTGTTATGAAAGAGATGTTCAAAAAAAATACATCCTGATATAGTTGAGTTTTGTTTGAACAACACATTTGATACTCCCCTCCAGGCCTCAAGACCCTGATCCTTTATGTCTTAGGGAAGCTGCAGCCAGTAGGTGGAAGGCCCTTCTAGAAGACCCCAAAGCTCCAACCCAGATTGGGATGAGGGAGCAAAGGGGCTTCCCCAGGGCCCAGAAGGGTAGATGGCAGGGTGGATGGAGAAACAAACATAAGGGTTACTTCCCCAAAGATACAAGGAACTTGACCTGCATGAGCATGAACTGCCCTTCCCCTTTCTCTGCTCCACCCACATCCACATTTAGGCCACAATGGCTCTGGGCACTTACAGCCCTCAGGGGGCTGCAGGACATCCCAGCTGTCATGTTTGTCAGTGCACACCGTTGAGACCATGCTGGACCCTATGTTGGGGCAGAGGACACAAGAAAGGACAGTGTCGCAGTCCTGTGGACGAGACAGTCACAGGAAGTAATTGGGGGACATCTTGGCTTCTTCCCAAACCCTCCCCACCCTACCAGTCACCAAGCCCTATCACTTCTACCTCTCTAGTATCTCTGGAACACCCAGCCACTTCTCTCCACAGCCACAACCCCTAAGTTCAGCCCCACCCACTCTCACCTGGATGGTTGCAAAATCCTCGTCTCTGGTTTTCCTTCTCCATTTTTCCTCCCCTCCATCTGTTGCCATGTGGGGACCAGTGACCTTTCTTTTTTCTTTTTCTCTTTTCTTTTCTTTTCTTTTTTCTTTTCTCTTCTCTTCTCTTCTCTTCTCTTCTTTTCTTTTCTTTTCTTTCTTTCTTTTTTGACTCGCTAAGTAGCTTTATTAGAGAAAGCCAGGATTACAAAGGACTTAAGAGTTGGCATTGGGCCCCTTCTTTTGACAATGGTGGGCACAACATTAACAAAGCACCAGTTTTACTGCATCCACTGCTTGGCCTGGCCTGTCTTCTTTTTCTCCTGTTTGGCCACTTTGGGAGTCTGCCCCCTTACTTTCCCAGCATGGCCCAGAGAACCATGGACTTTGCCTCCAAGCATGTGGATGGTTCCCCCAGAGTGGCCAGAGCCTCTACCCCACACAGGCCCTGATAACTTCATCTTCTAGGGGTGTGCCTGTCAAGAGCACGATTTGATCTCCTTGGAGCATGGCCCTCCAACAAGTCCATGTGAGCCTTGATCTGGGCAACTGTCTCCTGGCTAGCCACCTCGAGGGTGTGTAGCTCCTGGGTGTGAACAAAAAGCTACATACCAGCGACTGAATGGTGGTCACTGCTGCTGCTACCACAAAGATCAACCGGTGACTTTTCTAAAAGCAAATGTGGTCATGATTCTTCATTCTTCTACTTAAAGCCCACCAAAAGAATTCAGATGTGGCATTTGATGCTCTTCCCTAGCTGACCTTAACATTCCTGTATTTTCTCCTTCTGCATTTTGAGCCAGCCTGTAGCTGGGTATCCCTGCGCTTTCACGCCTCTCCACATGCTGTGCCTTCTGCCTGGATTCCCAGTTCTCTCCCCTAAAGGCTGCAGGGGACAAGCTTGGCCTAGAGGGTTCAGGACATCAGAGAAGTTAGAGGAAGGGGAGAAACAAGTTGCCAGACCAGTGAACTAGACCAGGAGTTCTGGGTGGAGATCCACATGGTGCCTGCAGATAGGGAGGCTTGGAATCTCATTCAGGTTTGGGGATCCTGCTGGAGGCGCAGTCAACTGGGGTGTAGCTGTTGAAGTGGGTCAGATAGGAATGATCACAGATGCTTTGAAGAAGCTTGGCGGTGGAAGACAGCCTACAGGAGGGCACACCATCTGGCTGGGAGAAAGCCTCTGCTAGAGTCCTCAAGAGATACGTCAGGAGGCCAGACCCAGGCAGGTGGATGATGGCCTGCTGCTGCTTAAGGAGGGAGGCGAAGGCCAATGGTGTACCTCATGGAAGGAAGCAGGAGCTGAGAATGTTGATAGGTCCTGTGGCCCCATGGATAGAAAGGATCCCATGAGTAGCGTTTTATGGAGATTTGAGTGGATGCCAAGCACTGTCTTCATGAGAACTCTAAGAGGTAGGTACTATTATTATCTCCATATTACACGTAGGAGGACTGCTGCTCAGGAAGGCTAGGTGGCCTGCCCAAGGTCACACAGCTGATTCCAGAGCGGGTACCCAACCTCAGGAAGGGAGGGTTTCGCTGACAACACTGACAGTCCTGTGCCCCCACAGGAAATGGGAGGGCGGGGACCCAGGAGTGGCCCACCAGAAGACCCCCACCTGCCTGCTGTTGACCCCGGAGGGCGCCTTTCACAGCTTTGGCTACACTGCCCGCGATTACTACCACGATCTGGACCCTGAGGAGGCGCGGGACTGGCTCTATTTCGAGAAGTTCAAGATGAAGATCCACAGCGCCACTGTAAGGCACATTCTGGCTCGGGACACTCCAGCCAGGGAGGCGGGGACAGGAGGGGAAAGGGCAGGACTCAAGGAGGGTGAGCAAAGGTAAAAGGTGAGGAGAGGCTGAGGGGGCTTGGGAGTCAAAGTGGAGGAGGGGCTAAGGGGTGAGGCCGGGATTAGAGGAGGGCGGGGCTAAAGAGAGGGCTGGGGACAGAACTGGTGTTCTCCTGGATTAGCAGGAGAGCCCAGCTGAGCCCACACTTCGGAGGGGAAGCACCAGGAAATGGCGTGATTTTCAGAGAGAGTTTGTCAGGAAATGGGGGTAGAGCTATGGCCTCCTGCAGAATCGCCTATGTTCCTGCTAGGATCTCACCCTGAAGACCCAGCTGGAGGCCGTAAACGGAAAGAAAATGCCTGCCCTGGAGGTGTTCGCCCATGCCCTACGCTTCTTCAAGGAGCATGCCCTTCAGGTGTGCTGTGGCCCCATCCCTGCCCACCGGGGCAGGGACCCCCGCCAGGTCCATCTTTTCCTGTCAGCCCATCCGTTAGAGGTCAGAGGTCATTTTTGCCAGCCCCTGCCTTCCTATCTGATGGAGCCTGCATGGGCCATACGGGTGTTGGGGGAGGAGGTGTTAGGAATTCTTCCAACTCAGCTGGGAAGTCCTTCCTGAGGCCTGATTAGTCCCTCCAGTTCCCATAGAAGGCTGAAGGCACCTCCCACCCCTGCAACCCAAGCCAGCCTACCTCTCATTGCCCCCTCCTGCTCCAGGAGCTGAGGGAGCAGTGCCCATCGCTGCCAGAGAAGGACACCGTGCGCTGGGTGTTGACGGTGCCTGCCATCTGGAAACAGCCTGCCAAGCAGTTCATGCGTGAGGCTGCCTACCTGGTGAGGATGTGCAAGGCAGACCAGTGGGCATAGCTCTGGAGGGCTCTAGGGACGGCCCCAGACTCTCATTCACCCACCACCCTTGGGACTGGTCACTGTGTACAAAGACCTCTGGCCTTCCCCTGCTGGGCATTTTGGAAGGGTGTCGCCACCAGGAGAGGGTGTGAGCCTACAGGAACAGAGAGCAGAGGGATGAGAGGCATGGCCCAGGCCAGCTTAGCCAGCGTCTTAAGTCGGGTTTCCTAGCAGAGCCCAAGATGGGTCCTATGCATGTGGTGTATTGGAGAAGGGCTCTTGGGAGAAAGAGGAGTGAGGGAAATGGGCCAAGAGAAAGAGCCGAGCAGGAATGTGGTCTCAACTGGAGTCTAGCCTCAGCCCAATCCCACGAAGAGCACTGGAGGGAGAACTGTACCCAGCAGTTGACCACAGGAAGGCAAGGGGGCCCGCTTTTTGTATATCCATATCAGTCTGTTGTTGGTTGCTGGAGGTGAGGGGGAAACCTTTCCAAGTGAGGTGTTTTCCATTCAGCTGAGGGCAGTTCTCTAGAGAAGGGGGCGCAGCTGGGAGCCAGTAGCAGCCAACACACAGTAGCTGGGCAGCCAGCTCCGGTATTTTCAGGGGCTCCACCACCATGCCCCAGCCACTGTAAGCTCTGCAGTAGGGGAGACAGGACTACGAAACTATGAAGGGAGGTGATTTGGGTCAATGCTTCCTGGGCTTCCTACCATAAGAGATGCCCAAAGGTCTGGAGACTGGGGGGACCTGAGTGCACAACTCAGGTTCCCCCACCTCCAGTAAGATGGGGTGGGGAAAGAGGGGAGCACAGCCTCTCAGAGCAAAACTCATTGCTTGGTCCTCCCCCTGGGGCCTTGGGGGACACCCAAGGACCTCCAAAAGGTTTGCCTGTGCACCCCCTGGAAGATACCAGAACCCTCAACCCCCCACGCTCCTGTGGGCCAGGCATGCCCCAGGTGCCAGGTCTGCAGGTGCCTACACTTGTCACTGGAAGGAGCTAACCCTGAGGTGGTGGGCATTCCCCCACCCCACAGAGACCAGGATGAAAGCAAGGCTGTGCCCAGCCAGAATAAACACCCCCCACCCTAGTGCCCCCTGCTGGTTTATCCACTCTGCTTCCTCCCACACTGTTCCTGGCTGCCAGCTCAGGAAGGGCTGGCCCTGGGCAGGAAGTCTCCATACCCACCCGTCCCCAACCCCCACCTGGTCAGAATCCAGGGAACCCCACAAAACCATAAAGTACTTCCCACAGGGATCCCCTGTCCCAATATAGGAAGTAACAGATCCCAAGTGTTTTTCTCCTCACAACTGGCCCCTCCTGGCGCCTGGAATTTCACTGTTGAGAGTCTCTTGATGCCTATATCTGATTCTCTGGGGAACAGAGTTCTCCTGGGACTGGGGAGGCCTGTGGCTATTATCTGACACCAGCCTGGTGAAGGAAAAGGGCTCAGTGAGCCAAAGGTGACCTCCCCCCCCCAATACCACCTCCTCTGATTGGTGGTCTGGCCATTACACCCCATATACACTGTGCTAGAGTCTGGGCTTACAGCCTCAGCCAGTGCTCAGCTGGTCAGCCCTGTACCTGTGAAGGGGACCTTGCTACAGCCTGGGCAGCTTAGAGGGGCACGTCCCAGATGCTCTAGGTTTTCACTGTCTAGGGTCTCTTCCTGCTGGGCAACCCCATGGTATTCTTGGCCATGGCCATGGCCCTCCCCAGCCTGGTCACAGGGTAGCCGTGAGGCAGCTCCAAATTTGTGCAGCTTGGAGGGGCCTGGGAGGCCTAGCATGGGTGAGGTGTGATGGGGAGGAGGTGGGAGCCCCAAAGGCCCTGGTTGCCTGCCCTGAGGTGCCATCTTAGGTATGACACTTGGCCCATGGAGGTCCCTGGCCCCGCCCACCACCTATTCCCAGGCTGGCCTGGTGTCGAGGGAGGATGCAGACCAACTACTCATCGCCCTGGAGCCAGAGGCTGCCTCTGTCTATTGCCGCAAGCTGCGTCTACACCAGCTCGTGGACCTAAGCAGCCGGGCTCCAGGCAGTGGACGCCTGGGTGAGCGCCGCTCCATCGATTCCAGCTTCCGGCAGGGTGAGCTGCACTCAGGGGCACTGACTGGTGGTATTACATTTGCCCTGGGAGGGTCAGAGGGTCACTGAGGCCAGACACTCAGCCATGTCCCACACGAAGAGGACATCCCCCCCTCCCCCAGCCACGTCTCTGGTGGAATTCAGTCTGAGGAAGGAGGTGCAGCCCTGACCTGGGGGAGCCCAATCTGAGGATAGAGATTTCACCTTGTCCTGGGGGAGCACTGTCTGAGCAGGGCAGGACTCCATCCCAGTCCTGAATCTGAGGGTAGGGGGACACAACCTGCCCTGAGGGGAGGTGCTCAGGTGAGAAAGGAAAAAATCAGCCCCTACACTGAGCCAAAGGTGGTCTTCAGTTTTCTCTTAAACAGCCACTGAATCAGCAGCTTCTCCCATCCTGGCACATCAGCTGTCTTCTTCCTCCCCCACAACAGCCCTGAGCTGCTGCTACCAAGCTCAAACTCCCGTGCCAGGGCCGTGCACTGAGACAGCTATGGTCAGTCTTAGTCACTCTCCCAGATGCCACCTCCCATGACTAGGAGAAATCCCAAGTCCCAGGCTCCCCTGGACCCCCCAAGTTCCCCCCCACACACACACACACACAGCTCCTCCAAGCTCTCCTAACCCCTCTTTTGCAGTGGCCCCAGCCCACCTACGTTAAGGGAATGTCCTGAGGCCAGAAATACTTCCTTCCCCTCAGCTGTTGGTCACAGCACCTGAGATTACCGCATCGGGTTTTCTGGATCCTTTGAGGTCCAGACCTTTGAGGTCTACTTAGGAGTAGAGCAGGAGTTTCAGAACTGGCTGCTCCAGATGCGCATGGAGGGTGCTGGTGGGAGGATGGGGTCGAGTGTGGTAGCTGAGGCACCTCCTTCTAACCCCACTGTTCTGCTGTCCCTCAACCCCCAGCCCGCGAGCAGCTGCGCCGGTCCCGCCACAGCCGCACGTTCCTGGTGGAGTCCGGCGTCGGAGAGCTGTGGGCAGAGATGCAAGCAGGTGGGGGTGGGGGTGGACGGGTGTTTCTTGAGCCCTGCGGGTCACCATATACTGATTGGGGGCATGGGAACATTTGCGAAGTGGGGTTCAGACCTTAGAAACGCAGACCCTCCTCCTCCATTAGCTGCACCTAACCTGTCAGTCTCATGGTCACCTGCACCCCCGCCCCACTCAGCCGCGCCCCTAACTCCCACTTCTGGAGATTCTCCGCGGATGGAGTTGCAGAGCCCTGGAAACATTTTCCTCCAAAACCTTGAGCCCGTAACCCATTGGCGTAAGGTTCAAGCACCTGAAGTCCCTTACAGCCACCCCACCCCCATCCTCCCCGCAGGCAAGGCTAGCGACTGGGGCAGGGCTGGGGGCTGGGTGAACCTGGAAGGGGCGCAGAGCTGAGGGTGCAAAGCAAGCCAGGAGTGTGTGCTCACGCTCGCCGCCGCAGGAGACCGCTACGTGGTGGCAGACTGCGGGGGAGGCACGGTGGACCTGACCGTGCACCAGCTGGAGCAGCCGCATGGCACGCTAAAGGAACTCTACAAGGCATCTGGTGAGTAGCCAGCCCCGCCAATGCCCCCTGGCGGCTGAGTCTGCGCTGACGCCCCCTTCACTCCCTGCCGGGTCTCAGGTGGCCCCTATGGCGCGGTGGGCGTGGACCTGGCTTTTGAGCAGCTGCTGGGCCGCATCTTTGGAGAAGATTTCATCGCCACCTTCAAAAGGCAACGCCCGGCAGCCTGGGTGGATCTGACCATCGCCTTTGAGGCCCGCAAACGGACGGCAGGCCCACACCGTGCAGGGGCACTCAACATCTCGCTGCCTTTCTCCTTCATTGACTTCTACCGCAAGCAGCGAGGCCACAACGTGGAGACAGCCCTGCGCCGGAGCAGGTGGGCCCGGGGACCAAGGACTCAAGAAGGGTTTGCGGATGCCGGACGCCCCTGCAAGGGAGGATGTGGGCCCCAGAGGACAGTGGGAGGTCTGCCCAATCTGCCCTGTGTACATGTCTTACCAGCTGGGGTCAGGGGAGGGGCCTAAGCACCCCAGCTAGAATCCTCAGGCCCGATCCGTGGCAAGAGAATCTTGAGCCCCCAGGGAAAGGGCCGACATTTTGCGCCTCCCCGCACCCCCACAGCCACACACATCATGCGGGCCAGGGCGCCTTGGCTCCTCTGCCTGGAGGCTCCTCTCCTGGGACTTCATGCCTGGAACTGGAGCAGGCAGACGGCTAAAAAGCTCCTGAGGGAGTGGGGTGGAAGGACACAACATGCAGTCAGTGCCCAGTGCACACGGGCCTGGAGCAGGGGTAGAGCTCCAGACCCCAGCCCATGAGCCTGTGCCCCCTTCACCAACAGCGTGAACTTCGTGAAGTGGTCCTCACAGGGGATGCTCAGGATGACTTGTGAGGCCATGAACGAGCTCTTTCAGCCCACGGTCAGTGGGATCATCCAGCACATAGGTGAGTACCGAAGCTTGGGTCCTCCACTAACCCCCACATTCACACTCGGACGCAGGAATGACCCCTCCTTATTAGTGCCCGGACCCTCCACACATCCAAACACCGGAATGAGACCCAGAATCATCTGGGACAACCGGAGGACACAGTATGGTGGGTATTAAGAGCTAGGAGGGATGATGTGTACAGCCTCTCCAAGTGAAAGACCCTCTGGTGCCTCAGTTTCTCATTCATAAAACGGAGTGATAGCACGGGGTTCCCAAAACTGTTATCATAGGGACTTAAAGAGCTGAAGTACTAGAGATGCGCCCACAGTGGGCAGCAGGCACTGTAAATGCGTATCCTTATCTCTTTGCCCTCCAGGACATGGAGGCGGAGGAAAGGGGGGGTAGAGTGTCAGGGAAGCAGAGCCCGTGAAGGCTGCCTGGAGCACTCGGTGAAAACTCGGTTTTTCTTCCTCAGAACCCGTCTACCGTTTTAGGGTGAGATGGCTAGCTTCTAGTTGCCAGCAGGATGCAGGATGGTGGAGGGGAGGTGCCCGAGGCCTCACCGCGGCGGCCTCAGAGGCTGGTGCTCTTTGTCACCTCCCTTTCCATCCTCTCCTCCCGCCCCCTCCCGCAGAGGCGCTGCTGGCACGGCCCGAGGTGCAGGGCGTGAAGCTGCTGTTCCTGGTGGGCGGCTTTGCCGAGTCGGCTGTGCTGCAGCACGCGGTGCAGGCGGCGCTGGGCGCCCGCGGCCTGCGCGTGGTGGTCCCGCACGACGTGGGCCTCACCATCCTCAAGGGCGCGGTGCTGTTCGGGCAGGCGCCGGGCGTGGTGCGGGTGCGCCGCTCGCCGCTCACCTACGGCGTAGGCGTGCTCAACCGATTCGTGGCTGGGCGCCACCCGCCCGAGAAACTGCTGGTCCGCGACGGCCGTCGCTGGTGCACCGACGTCTTCGAGCGCTTCGTGGCCGCCGAGCAGTCGGTGGCCCTGGGTGAGGAGGTGCGGCGCAGCTATTGCCCGGCGCGCCCGGGCCAGCGGCGCGTGCTCATCAACCTGTACTGCTGCGCCGCCGAGGACGCGCGCTTCATCACAGACCCCGGCGTGCGCAAGTGTGGCGCGCTCAGCCTGGAGCTAGAGCCCTACGACGGTGCGTCCTCCGGCCGCCGCGAGATCCGCGCCGCCATGCAGTTTGGCGACACCGAGATTAAGGTCACCGCCGTCGACGTCAGCACCAATCGCTCCGTGCGCGCCGCCATCGACTTTCTTTCCAACTGAGGGCGTGCGCGAGGACCAGTTCCCCAGTGCCAGGCCCCGCCCTCTTGTGGTCGTGGGGTCGGCTCTAGTGGATGGGCTGCTAGTTCTGAAGTCGCGCCTCTTCCCCCACCCTCTAGTTCTGAAGTCGCGCCTCTTTCCCCACCCTCCCGCCTGGGGAGATGAGGTCGCAGGATGGGTGGGGACAGACTCTGGCTTTGGAATTGGGCCCAGGTCCGCTGACTGGAAGGCTGCAGAGCCCTGCCAAGGGCTGAGGTCAAGGAATCAGAAGAGGTTTGTAAGCCGGTGCGCCCACAGGGAACACGTCACCCCGAAGGCAGAATGCACCAGAAGACCGAGCCCTGGCCTGAACTGGGGGGGGGAGTGGGGGGCGGGGGGGAGGTGTGAAGGCAGCCGGGAGAGGCGGAGCAGGGCCGCTGCAGGAGGGGCAGCAGGAGGAAGGAGGATGTGCAGAGCTTTGGCCTGAAGGGCCGCGTGCGATTGATGGGCTCAGCCTACACAGGGAGCTGGGCAGAGCAGCCCCATGCCACAGAAAAATGGCCGGGGACTGGCACGAGAGTCACAGGAGTATAGGACCTCCCCAGGCGTGGCACCGACCATCCAAGTGTGACTGTTAATTTTAAAACTTTCTCAGCAGGCTAATGAGGAGGATACAGGCTGAAGGCACTTATGAGAGGATGTGGGGGAACATGCGGGGGCCGGGGGCTTCCTTCAGGACAAATGACTCATCTGAGAAGGCCCCTAGGGCAGCCTATGAATGACCCACTTGCACCCTATCCCAGCTACCCAAGCGCAGTGGGACTTGGGGAGCTGCAGGGTGGACAGAAGAAGCACTAAGAGCTGATCTTGGCTCTGCCATCAACTCCATGTGCCATTGGGACATTTCCTGCCCACCCATGACATGCAGCTGACCCACCTGCCTGAGAACCCTAAGGCGACAATAAAGCATTTATGCTTCAGGTGAAGCCAGAGCCTGCTTGTACCTCACAGGAGAGGGCCCCAATGGAGGAGTAGTGGAGGGGGCCTGGGTTCAAAAAAGGGAGAGTGCTTTCAGCTTTGTGCAGAGCTGGGAAATGACCAGAAGGGGGTGCTGCTGTCTCTCTGTCAAATATCCCAAACAGAACTTCCCCTAAGACCTCTCTCTGGCTTAGGCATAAGGCCTCACCCCAGCCAAACTTATGTCAACTATTCCCAGGCCTAAAATACCACTCGTGCATACTTCGTTGGGGGCTAGGTGCTATAATACCATGAAGTGCCCTTACCTCCTAAAAGAATGAACACAACCAGAGCTGTTCCTTAACTCATCTGCATAGGATTGGGCATTCTCAGAGCGATGGAAAACAAACATTAGCTGGCCTCTGATGTCCACTGAAACTTTTATTTCTTTAGGGTTTTATCCCAACCAGTCCTTTAAAAACCAAGTAACACAGATCTGGGGGTTAGGGCTTGGGGACTGCACCTCCCTCCTACTCAGTGTGGACAGCAGTAGGAAAGAGGGAGGGGGCAGGGGAGGGCAAAAGCCAGACAGCAGCAGCATTAATGGGAGTGACGACGACGTCACAGAGCCAGTTCCCTCCTCTCCCAAGCCCTGGCTGGAGCCCCTGTGACTTGGGGTGGGGGGTGGGTAGAACCCACCCCAGGCCCCCCCTCCCCTCCTCAGATAGCCTCCTTGGGGGCTCAACCCATTTCTTCCGGCAGGAGACTGAGGCACACAGGAGGAAGTGGGAGAGGAGGACACACGAGAGGCAGGGAGGTGGCACAATGAAGGCAGAGGTGAGAGGCCCCTGGACACCCCACACCCACCCCGGGGAGGGGTGAGGAAGCCACACCATGATACAGCGTTCGGGGAGATGAGGTGGGGTTTAAGGCTGTGGGGTTCTGAGGCGCGCAGGGCCGCAGGCCTCAGTCAAAGCCGTGCCAGTCGCTGTGCTCTGAGTCGTATTCTAGCTCGGCACCCACGCACTTGACCCCATCAAGCAGCATGGGTGTGCCATGGTGTCGGTCTGCAAGGCAGGTGACAAATCAGGATACCAGGCTGGTTCCCTCGCCCCACCCACTCTAGGACACTCCCCTCCACCTCCCCTCTGGGCTCTGCTGGGATGGGGGTGGGGGGAAGGTACCCGGGAACCCCAGGCCAGAGCAAGGACCCCTCTTTCAGATGGGGAGGGCAGAAATCCCTTGCAGTCAAGCTGGCACCTCCCCCCTCTAGCCAGACCCAAAGCTCGCACGCTCACCCATGACTCGCGCTTGCACTGTCACTCGCACACAGGTGCCGGTGCCACCTTCACAGGCTAGCAGCATCTCCTCCTTGAGGACTCCCTCTTTGTGTGCCGAGTATTCACACTTGACGCTGTAACCTGCCCAGATGATCAGCATCTCTGTGGCCTCCCGCCCCTGTCCCCCAGCACTCACTGGCACCAAGACTGGCCACCTCCTCCAAAGGAGTAAGGATGGCCCAGGACTTGTCCCCCCAGGGCTGGGCACACAGGCCCTGGAAACTTCCTCCTCTTCAATGAGGTCTCTGTGTTTCCAGCCTGTGGACAACCCTGTTATGGCTCCAAGGGTCAAACTCGGGCTTCCAGGAGGAGGGTCCAGTGGTTCCCCAAAAGGGCAGGAAGGGAGAGGGGGTTGATAGGGAAAGGGGGATGGGCAAGGCCTTCGCACATGGGGTGGCGAGAGGTAAAGGCCTGTGGGAGCTCACTGAATCCACTTAAGGGCAAAGTCATGAGGAGGAAATACGGGGACATGAAACTGAAACTGGGGTGTGAGTGACTATGAAACTGACACCCTAGCCTCCAGGTGGCAGGAGAGGGCCTGAAGCTACAGGGAAGGCAGAAGCAGTCCCAACTCCAAAGCCTGTGACTGCCGGGTGCTAGGAGGTAGCTGCCCAGGGTCCCTGGGGCTCTGGCAGATTTTTCTTGAAGGGCAGACAGGAGGGAGAGCTGGAGGCCCAGAGCCAGTTGCTTATTGGCTCCACCACCTCACTGAGGGTACTATCAGGTGATACACAGGCACTGGCCAGCAGGGTGAGCCCACGGACCCCTGCCCAGGGAGCAAGGCCTGGGGCATGGGAGCTGCTGAGATGCCACACTGCAAGCTCTTAAAGAGGCGTCAGGTCGCCCAACTGCTGAACTGCCCATCTACCCTAGAACAGGGGGAAGCACCCCATGCTCTCACTCTGTTACATCCAGGCCCGGCTGGAGGAGGGTAGGCCTCCAGCACCCTGAGCAGGGCACACACCTTCTGGGATGGGCATGACGCTGAGGAGCTTGAGGTGTAGGCTAGGGACAGGTGCTTCTCGGACGTCCTTGCTCAGCCTGTGCACCGGGGGCAGAGTGAAGGTAATCTCATACCTGTGCAAGATCTTCAGGAAGCCAACCTGTAGCAAGAAGGTGGGGAGGGGGAGGCACCTAGTCACTCTCAGCCTACCCCAGGGCCCACCCAGCTCCTGCCACCTGGGATCCTGTGCGCCCCTGCACCGGCTGCTATAGGAATCCCAGAGGGGGTCTAACTCCCTCCGCCACTCCAGCTTGTCCACACACCAAGTCCAGTGGCTCCAGGCACTTCGCCTGAGGACCTCATCCCCTCAGCTGGTTACTCAGCACCTGTTGTGTGGGCCCCACAGCAAACGTTGGCCCACTTTATAGATAAGGAAATGGAAGCCAGGCAGTATGGCCAGGGTAAAGGTCTCCCTAGGCCTCTTGGCCACTCCTGCCACGTGTGGCACATATCAAGGCAGCAGCCATTGCCCACAGGGGAAGCTAGCTCAAAGTCCCACGATGCAGGCCGTTCACCTGCCCCCGCCACTGCCAGCACCTGCCCAGAGCCAATAGGCTGGGGTCAGGGACACGGGTCCTTTAGCCACTCCTGTGGAGACAGTGGGCAGCACACACATTGCACAGGATGAAGGACGGGATAGAATTAGAAAAACAGACACTAGACCAGCTGTGTCAGTGTAAAGCTGGCCCATGGGCACCAGCTACTGAACTCTGCTGGCACCTGAACGTGGACGCCTGCCTGCCCACTCAAATGCTCAGTGTGCCCAAAGCCCCACAAGCCATTTCTGTTGTTCATACACGGTGACTGGCAACCAGTGCCCCCTGGGATAGATGCCAACCTTGGATAAGTCCAGTCATGTGAAGGGCCACAAGCTGGGGTGGCAGCTGAGCAGGTAGGCTGGCCAGAGGGCAGTCCAGGAGGCACAGGGGTGCGTGATGTACCCACAACTTATGTGCACACAGACTGGCATGCTCAGTTTCAAGGGCTGCACAGCTCTGTTCCTGGGGCTTGTTAGGACTGGCTGCGTGAAGCATTTGGCCTTTCGGTGGGACAGGCAGACATCACGGTATGACAAAGCTTAGCCCATGTGGCTCCCGCACTTTGCAGGTGGAGGACACAGTCCTCAAGAACGATTTCTGGCTATCCTGCCAATGGTGACCCTGTGGCCCAGCCGCACCAACTGCAGAATTTTCCAGGGGAAATCTCAGAGATGTGCGAAAAACACTCCTTGCTGCCCTATTTATAACAATAAAAAATAGAAACGTTCGTAACACCAGGAATAGTGAACCAGCTAAATCAGTGATGATACATTTAATGGAATACCAGACAGTTGTAAAATCTTGTGGAAAATTGTTTACTGACATAGGAAACGGTTCACAACACAAGCCAGCAAAACACTGCTGTGATACTAGCTTTTTGTTTTTGTAGAACCAAAAAAGCTGAAATGACACACATCAAAAATTAACCGTCATTGTGTCTAGATACTATGATTGTGTGTGCTTTTAAATTTCTTTATAGTTTTCTCTAGCTTCCAAATTTTCTCTAATAGACGTCAATGGATTTTGCAATGGGGAGGTGGCGGGAAAGGGAGCTATTCCCTAAAGTTTTGTTTCATTCTGTTTATTCCCTTGAGGAAGTTATCAGCTAAAGGAAAAGAGCACGGATGTTACATTTGGGCAGAAAATGATGAATCTGGGCCCCTCCTCAGGGAGGTCTCAATGGAC